CACCACCATCCGTCTGCAGAACTTTTTAATCTTCCCAAACTGAAGCTGTATACCCATTAAATACTAACTCCCCATTCCCCCCAGCCCCTGGCCACCGCCTTTCTACTTTGTGGCTTTATAAATTTGAGCATCTCATATGAGTGTAATCATACAATATTTGTTCTCTTGTGTCTGGCTGATTTCACTTAGCATAGTGTTTTCAAGGTCAAAGATACCTTTTAAGTGGAAGCTTTTTTACAAAAGAAATTCCTCTTCAGTGTGTACCTAAGTTGTTAGAATTGGCCCTTTTCTGCATTTGTGACTTGGGTCACATGACAGTGTCTTTGATTTGTCCAGCACCAGAAGGTAGGAGTGGACATGGGGTGGGGAGGGGGGTGGATAAAAATATTAGACTAACTATTTTAGAGTCACATTAACTATTTTAAACTATTGTAACTAAATTAGATTAACTATTTTTTAAATGTTTCATAATTTATTCCAGGACTTGCAGAGTGTTCTCACATATTCAAATGAAAATACTAAATACAATTGATGGTCAGAATGTGTAGTATTCATTCTGTCCACCAGTTTGGGTGTTGAGTGTTCATAACCTGTCTCCTGAAAAGGTGCTGGTTTTATACAGATTAGATTTTCATGTGTGGTGGTTTTTGTGGGGAATGCCTTGCACTAGGGAGTATATCCCCTATTGTTCTTGCTGTTTGGATCTTAGTTTCATCCTTTCTGTCTCTTTTACTGCTAGCTGTGATGAGTTACGGCTTCTGGATGGACCTTTCTTCCTCTAGCCTGTTCATTGTTAAAGGAGTCAGCTTACTTGCAAATAGAGAGCTGGTATGCTCGGCCTGGCTGGACCACCAACTCTTTGTCTAAAGTTTACTTAGCTATTGTTTCCCTTTGTTGCTAGGGAATATTACTTTTCCCTAGGTGAAATATGAATTTTTTTTTTTTTTAAAGGCAGGATCTTGCTCTGTCACTGAGGCTGGAGTACAGTGGTGCCATCGTACCTCACTGTAATCTCGAACTCCTGGGCTCCCTGCCTCAGCCCCCCAAGTAACTGGGACTACAGGTGTGCGCAACCGTGCCCAGCTAATGTAAAAAAAATTTTTTTTTTTTTTAGAAATAGGGTTTCGTTATGTTGCCCAGGCTGATCTCAAAGCAGTTTTCCTGACTTGGCCTCCCAGAGTGCTGGGATTACAGGCGAGAGCCACCATGCTCAGCCTGTGAAATATGAATTTGTTTCTTACTATTTAGAGTAGTAGGGTTTCTTTATTGCTAATATATTACATAAGTCTATATTTATTCACTCTTTGACTACACTTGAAGTTCAGGTGATTTCAGATTGCCTTTTGCAACAGATTTATTTTATAAAATCTCTTTTCCTATTTATTTTATTTTCCTGGAGGAATAGGTTACTTTTGGATTTCTGAGTTTTGAAACTTGTCTCTGTAGTAATAAATGGTACCAGATTAGTGTTTTTGAGTTCTTAAGTTTGCCTTTAGTAGCTTATGACAGCAAATAGGTTCTGTGATCAGTGGGGCTGCCTTTAGGTCCTACTACAAATGATCCCTGAGGACAGAACTGTTTCTTGTTGTTACTGGTGTAAACCTAGAACAGTGGCTGCCATATGGTAGAGGCTCAATAAATATTTGTTGAATGAATGAATACTATATTTTATGAAAGCTATCAATGTTCAGTATGTTAGAGAAGTTACAGACTTCCAGTTTTGAAAAATCTGATTAGGTAGGTTCTCCAGTTTACCTTTTTTTCCCCTCATTCTTTTATTTACTAATGAACTTAGTATTTTTTAAACATTTCTATTACAGGATAAACTAAGAAAAGATGATACATAGTTAATAGGTTTTTTTTTCAATGAGGCACCAATTCTTTTTAAAGTGTCTTTTGAAGAGGGGGTTAGCAAACATGTTAGCCTATGATTTTAGCCATCTATACTTTAAAAAACTCATTTTTACTGTCTTCTTCTTGTAATTGTGTTGTTTCTAGGAATAATAAAAAAAATCATAGTTCTTTTCTGTTACTCATGCTCAAAAGGGAGCACGTAAGTATATAAGGGAGCTTACAAGTAAATTTTTTTATTCATTTATTTAACAAATATTTGGAGTGCCTACTGCAAGCCAGTAGGAAATACTGTGTGCTGGGAATACTTATGAGAATGAAACAAAACTTCTGCTTTCATGGAATTTACATTCTTATAGAGAAGACAGAGAAACAAGATAAATAAAATGTAGAATAAAAGGAGAATTCTCTAAGAGGATAGATTCTTTTATTTGTGTAGGTTGAGCCTTTTAAAAACAATCAGTTCATTAAATACGAGATTTTTTTTTTTTCATTTTTACATTGCAAGGGAATGAGATGCCACGTGTGAGAACCTACAAGAGTGCAGGGCACTTTGATAGTAGCAGTTTGGTAAACAAGGGTGATTGAGTTTATAGCCCTTGTTCTTAAGAGACTCACACAAGAACTGCAAGGCAAAGCATGTAAAGGTAACTACATGCGGTATCAATAATATGCTTTAAGAGTTCAGAAAAGTTGGAGTTTCTTCACTGCTGGCTGAATCTAGGCAGAGAACAGGTGGAACAAGGATAAAGATAAGCTTAACAACATATATATTTGGGGAATGGTGACCTTTTTGCTATAGTAGAAACAGGAAGGTGTGTGTTGGGATCTATGGGGAGTATCAGGAACAGAGATGGGAAAAGTAAATTAAAGATGGACAGATCTCCAGGTGGTCCTATAGTAGTGGGGAGCCACAGATGAGTTTTTAGTAGGACCGTGGCACGATTACATTTTTTGTGACAATTAAGTGACTATGGGAAGGATGGGTTAGAAGATAGAGCAAGAAAGTGCAAGAAAACCGATTTGGAGAATCTAAAACATAGTCCAGGGCAGGACCACTAGTTGTGTTTATCTAGAAGATTATCATTAATCTTCTAATCTCTGTGAAGGATGCCTCCTGCAACACAAGGCCATCGTATATACTGTGAATGGAGTTGTGTCATGGGCAGCCTTGTACCAGCAGAGATGAGGTCCTTAATTTGAAGGTACTGAAAACTGAAGAAAAAGAAATGAATCCAAGAGAATTTTGTAATTGATAGGATTAGCAGTCTATTGAGGATGAGTGTTTTGTGGAATAATATAATAATAATTGTGGATGGTTTGAAGTTTAAGTCTGTGTTGGGTGATGGTCTGGACAACACTATGTTTTTTGCCACCTTTGTATCTGCTTTTCATAAACCACTTCATCCCACTTTATCCCCCTTTTTTCCTGCTTTAAACATCTCTCCACCCCTAATTTGGGTTTTATAATCTGTTTTGTACTAGATATCCAAGCTAATTAGAAGTATTTCTGAAACCAAGGAATTTTTATATGGGGTACAATGAGTAAGGGATATGTGGCTTTAAGTATCCTAAAGTATAGGGATCTTGATGTCTGTCAAAGGTACTCATTTATTATGTCCCAGATTTAATTTTCTAGATCATTTGCCTTATATTTTAACTTTAGTATTATTTCATAATATTTAGTTATGATAATTTAGCCTGGTGTTTCTACTTAAAACATTTTATTATGGAAACATTTAAACATAATCTAAAATAAAGAGAGCAATATGATGAACCCCAATATGCCTATCAACATTTTCTGGTCTTGTTTTAGCTGTTACTCTCTTTTTTGTTTTTTCCTGGAGTACTTTAAAGCAAATGCCAGATGTATTCTTTCACCACAAATACTTGATTATCTAACAGATCAGTACTCTATTTTTTGCTTAACACAACCACAATATCATTATCATACCAAACCATCTTCTTTACCCCAGTTTAATACCATATAATGAGATAGATAACCCAGTCTGGGTGGAGATTTCTCTGTTGGTTTCAAAAAAAGCTTTTAAAAAAATAGTTGGGTTGTTTGGATTAGGTTCCAAATAAGTCTTGGGGTTATTTTTAAAGCTGATTATTTTTTAAAGAGAAAATTAAGGCAGTGTGAAAACATTTCAGTATAAACTATTTCAAGAGAGCAATATTGTTTTTATAGCCATTCTGTGTGGAACTTAGTTTTGCTTATCTATACAAGAAGATGTTAAAATAGCTGGCATCTTTTTTTTTTTTTAAAGATTTTTAAACATTTTAGGAAATCTTTCTAAGAAGGGGAAAGGCGTGACCCCACTTATCTAGAGACCTAGAGAATAGAAGTGTGAGC